GTAACTATTTAGAATTGTCCTTTGGTTCGCATCTGGAAGACACGTGCACCTTGGGGAAATCTACCACAGTACTACTGTACGACAATGAGTTGTTCCTTTGCCGATGAGGACAAAGGTGATGGTGAGCTGAGGTGGAAAATAAGAACTAGCACTGGGCTGCATTCATAAGTAGGTCAATTCTGTTAAAGGTACATATACAGAAATCGATCTGGAAAATAGGTCCCATAAAATGATCTGTGCCTATATACCTGCTGATGGGATGTGTGTGCTCATCCATTTAAAGGTCACTGGAAAACTTCCAGGAAGGTGGGGTAATGAGAAACACAGTGTGACAGACCCATAAAGCCACCACAGCAGGATGGTTCTTATAGCTTAGGGGACTCCAGGACAGATATCTCCAAATAAGAGACAGTTCTGAGCCAGTTGTTACATCTTGGTTAGAGGCTGCATTTTCTACCACTACTTGGTAAAGCTTGGCAGTTAGTTAGTTGAGAAAACAAGCCACTGTCAACAGAAGAGTTATGCTATGGCAGCCAGCAAAGCACTGATTAGCAATAGCTGGACTTGGACTATAAACACTTATCTCTATAAGAAAATAGCATCCCCAAGAATGGTGAGCTTTGTTATAATGGTTCTCATAAAGTACATGATTTACAGTTGAATGTACTCTGTACTCTTTAGTCCATTTGTCTTTTTGAAAGGCTGGAGCCTCACTATCTGCATTGGGGTTCACTTGGTTGGTCTGTTAAATATATAAAACCTGGAGGCTGGAGAGATGCATAGCAGTTAAGAATACACCTGTGATGCCAACTCCAGGGATCCAATGCTGTCTTCGGGCCTCTGCAGGCATGACCCTGCCTCCCCCCACACACACATGAGAAAATTAAAAACATCCAAAAATACAAAATTGCTATCTTATGGCATAATATAGAATTAAGGGAGAAAGAGAACAGATGAACCTTGGGAATCTGATTTTAAATCCAGCATTGGAGATTTTTATACACTTTTGAGGTTGAAAGCAACTGATTGCTGTCCTTCTGTGGACATGTGGATTAATTGTAACTGGAAGTCACATCATTTTCCAATTCTCTGGGACAGTCTTGGCAAACCAGCAATATCCACTGGGACAGTTGATGCCCAGGGTTAGACTTCCTGGCACCCTTCTCCCTGTGTAGTGATTTAGCTGTCTTTCAACTGTGAAGAAATGCATTTCTCCTTTCTTCTCCTCTTCTCCCCCTCCCCTAGTGTCCTCTAAATGTTAAGGTATTAATTAAATCAGTGCAGGAATCCCACTGAATTCATCAGATTTCTTAGAACAGGATGTTACCTGTACTTTTAAAAGTTCAACAAAGCCACTATCTATTAAGTATCTAACACAGCTCTACCTGTGTTAGGTGTTGTAACACACATCATTGAGATGAGGATAATGGCAGCAGTTAGGAACACCTCATTCTAGTCTGATGGCCCAGTACATCAGTTGCAAGAAGTCCACTTCAAAATGGACAGAAAAGTAATAGTGACTATATAGATGAACACCCCATGTAAGGGAAGGCATCTTCTTTTTCTCATTCATGGTGGAGACACCAACAACAGGTAGATTAACGAGAGAAAAGCATACAGATCGTTTGAACCTCAAATAAGCAGGGCTTGCCTAACAGTAAGGCATATTCACTCAGATTCTGCTTGATGTCTCCACCTTTGAGAATAAAGATCCTCCCGGGATGAAGAGTGGGCATGAGGAATAAAGGTATTTGCGAGAACTTTCACAGAAGAGGCTGCTAGTTTTACAACCTGCTTTGGGGGAGAAGGAATAAGGAGGGGTGTGAACACCCTCATATTTTTGTCATTTTCTAAGATGCCCAGGTATCATATGATAGAGTAGTGTGTCTGCATCCCAGTGGCACTGAGGTGGAGAGACTACCTAAATCTTCAGTTAGGTTCCAAGTAAGGGTCCTGTCCATCCAAAGGATGAATGGATGCCTCAGTGCTTTTACATCTGGTTCCCACTCCACTGAATCAGAATATTGGTCAAGGACCCTAAGTTATTCAGGGAGAAAAACGACAATGGATAACAGCTATTACTAGCAAATTGTGTTATTGAGAAGGTAAGATAATTAAGATTCAACATGTCAAAAAACAACTCTGGCAGTTACAATAATTTATTTTTTGCATTATATTAAATTGTATTATATTAAATTGTAGTATACATGACTAAGTCTCTAGAAGACATGCTTCAAGAACATTCTTTTGAGGGTGTCTGGCAAATGACACTCATTTGGTAAGCGACTTTACTTGCTGCTACATATACTTGTAACAAATTTACTTCGGATAATAGATTAAAATTTATTTTTTCTTAGAAAATTATAGCTCAAAACTAAGTGCTATATATATATGTGTGTGTGTGTGTGTGTGTGTGTGTGGGTGTGTGTAGATAGAGAGACAGACAGACAGACAGACAGACAGATAGATAGATAGGTAGATAGAGAGAGAATAAAAGTGTGAAATTCCCCAGCTTCATAATGGCTGCTCTAACTATACAGAAGCTCACTGAGAGATAGACACCTTGGGTTAGATTGCTTTGGGTGTGTAATGTTTATTTTATTTATGAGTTTTTTAAATAAAAAAGTGTATAAAATCATAAAGAGAAACTATAGTTCAAGGAACTAAGCTGGTAGAAGAAATGAAATTGAAGAATATTATTATTTTATTTTATTTTTTTAAAGATTTATTTACTAGCTGGGCGGTGGTGGCGCATGCCTTTAATCCCAGCACTTGGGAGGCAGAGGCAGGTGGATCTCTGTGAGTTCGAGGCCAGGCTGGACCGACAGCCTCCAAAACAATACAGAGAAACCCTGTCTCGTAAAACCAAAAAAAAGAGATTTATTTACTGTGTATAGTATTGCATTTGCATGTACATCTGCAAGCCATAAGAGGGCACCGGATCTCATTATAGATGGTTGTGAGCCACCATGTGGTTGCTGGGGATTGAACTCAGGATCTCTGGAAAAGCAGCCAGTGCTCTTAACTTCTGAGCCATCTCTCCAGCCCTTGAAGAATATTATTAATTTATCAAGTCTGATCCTGTATCCATCACTGATGGGTTGCTTTTATTTCCTCACACTTTAAAAAAGGATTTTTTTATTTTACATACAAGTGTTTTGCCTTTATGAATGAAAAATGCACTGTGTATATGCACAGTGCTTACAGAGGTCTGAAGAAGGTGCTGGATCCCTTGGAATTGAGTTAGTGATGGCTGTAAACTGCCCATGTAGGTGCTGGTAACAAATCCAGGTTCTCTGCAAGAGCAGCAAGTGCTTTAACCACTGACACTTTGCTTCAGGCCCCCCTCTTCTCTCTCTCCCTTCCCCCGTTTCTCTCCATCTCTCTCTTTTGTGTTTTTCGAGATAAGAATTTTTTGTGTTCTGGAACTCACTCTGAAGACCAGGCTGACCTAGAACTTAGAGATCCACTTGCTTCTGCCTCTGGAGTGCTGGGATTAAAGATGTGCACCACTGCCAGGTTCTTTTATTTCTTAATAAGAAGGAAATGATAGAAATTGGTAGTGGGTTTCTTAATTAAGAAGAAAGGAGAGAAAAGGAATGAATTTTAACTTAGTTACTTTTTATTAAAATTTTTGATATTGGAAACAAATCTAATGCCTTGCACATGCTAGGTAAATGCTCTACCACTGAGCTGCATTTCATGACCCTTGATTTAATTTTAAGAGAAATACAAATACAGGTTAGACAAGACTTTGTGAGCATTTGGCTTCTACTTTCCCAATTTACAGACTCTGCCACAAGTCATTTGTGACAAAAGTCCACACACGGATCATAATTTGCATAACACCAATTATATCAGAGAACAATCAAACCAGCAAAGAAGCCAACACAGGCCTGGCCTTTCCAGTGAGGAGGAAAAGACAGAACAGTCAGGAGAAGTGCTCTACCAGTCCTCAGGGACTGCACTCCCGAGCTTCTCAAGCTCCTTCCCAGCAAACCCTGCCTTCCAGAGTCTTCTGTAATTAAAATGAACAGAAAAATGAACTTTGTAGTTCTTACCTGGTTTTAAAAGAACTGCAACTGTGTATTTATATTACTATTTAATTTTTTTTTTGTAAACTAGGGAGCAGAGAGCTGCAGCAAAGACGAATGGATAATAAGGTGTTGAACACAGTTGCCAATTAATAGTTTTTCTTTTTGCAACCAATTTTATAAACTAAGGAAGAGGTAGGCTGAGAGAATTAAACCGGCAAAAAAGATGGGCTAAAAAATAATGATGATCAATTATGCAGACACACACATACACCACAAAAAAGCTGTAAAGCTGTGGAGTGACTGTGAAACCCTGAACCCTGGTTCATAATTCATGTGACTGTGTTACTCTGGAACTTACTTGACTTTCCCATAAATACACTGTGAACTCAAGGATAACAGGCTTATTTACTGTTCATCATATTAGGGGGCATTTCAGGAGTTCAATTTCCTTTAAAAAACAAAACAACAACAAACAGAAAAAAACACCAAAGAGGCAGTAACTCTCTTACTGCCCTGTGCTCCTCGCAGATTTCACCCAGTTTCCAAACAGAGTCTTGGAAAGCTGCAACCTGGGGTGGAGGAGCTGTGGATGCCTCACAGAAGCCTTCTTTTCTGCTCTAGTCTCCATGTATTATTAATTTGTATTTCTATTTAACTCCATCTATTCACTTGTCCCTGCCAGACACCAAGTTTTTTCCAGGGGAGAGGAGAGGAGCCGGAGCTGCTATTCTTATGCATCCCTGTGTGTAATGAGGCTGGAGAAAAAGAAGTAATGCTTCTTTAAAAATGACAGAGATGGTTTGGGGTGGATAATTCAGGGCTGGTTAACACGACGTCTCCCCTCAAGAAGGTAAACCAGCACAGATACATTTCTGAAATACTTAATTACACCTTGTATCTAGTGTGGGAAAATCAGACCTCTAAAGGCCCCTGGTTCCAAGCAAGAGTCAGTTTTCTCTGTAGTCTTTGTCACCGCTTGTTTACTGCACTGCTCTGACAATATCTCACACCTTCATGAGGGTTTTACAGAAGCTATCAACGGGGACAGGTAGGTGAGCAACACAGAGAACAGGGTAGGATCTTCCGCATCGTTGCTTTCTTTCAATTTTCCATGAGAGGGTGAGGTAGCATTTTGAGATGTTTGTATCAAAGCCTCAGAAGTCAATAGCCTGACACAGCAGGGGAAAGCAGTGAAAACTGCCACTGCTCACTCTTCCAAAGGGTGAGTGCAACTCAGTCATAATGGAAGTTCTTTAAGGTCCCTCCTCCAAACCTCTTCCGATCAGGGAAGCCTGGAATCTGCAGGCAAGAAAGCATCCTGTTATATTCTCGGCAGAAAGACTCAAACGTTAAAACTGAACTGTTTCCTGTTTCAGGTTCCTGTATGCCAATCTGTTGCTCATTATAAAACCAGTTCTCTAAGATTTCACTCAGAAAACTGTAGAATGATAAATAATAAAAAGAAACTCTACAAATATGGAAAACATTTGCCAACAAATTGGTGGCAGTGTCATCTGGAGTCACACAGGTCAGAACTCCTAAAATCGCCAAATGGACTTTTATAGAAATTGTCTGTACTGTGGAAGACTCTAGACAAAAACTTTTGAAGATGGAAGCAAATTATCTTCTTTCCTTATGTTACAGTATCACCTTGTCCATGGATTCTTCTTGTATTGCACATTCTTATTTCACCTTTATCTAGGATTTCTCCTTTTGTATTCAAGAGGACAGAGATAGTTGTCTGTGCCTACAAAGAGCTTCTTCTAACTAAAAAAAAAATTCCCTCTGGGAAAAAAATTGGAAACCATTTCTTTCAAAATTTAAGAATTCATTTTATTAAGAAAAGATAGTTACCAACCTGATTACCTTCTCTACAAAAGTACCTCTTCTCTATGACCTGTGAGAGACAAGCAAAGACTTTAGGGTTTAACATATTTACCTGGAAAAGGTGAGTAATTATAATGTTCATTAATGTAACTATAGAAAGTATTGCCAAATTAAAAATCTTTTCAACAGTTACAGACATTTAATAGAGTGAGTTAAAGCTCTGGTGGGGGGGGGGGTGAGAGGAATGGCTCCGCAGTTGAACACTTGTTGCTTTTTGAGAGGACTGGAATTCAGTTCCTACCACCCACACTGGGCAGCTCATGACCACCTGCAACCTGCTCCAGGGAATCACACAGCATCTTCTGGCTTTTACAGACACTTACACACTTACAGACAATCACTCAAACACACACACACACACACAGACATACAAAAACACACATACATACATACAAACACACATAGACAGATATACACACAAAAAACATACACAGACAGACACACACACATATAGACACCTACACACAGACACATACCTTTAAAATCTGGTGTTAATGGGATCAAAACTGTGAGATTATTTCCACTAATGCCTGTTCATTCCAAAAGGAAGGAATGATAAAGACCCTGCCTCAAACAAAAAACAAAAAAACAAAAAACCTCACAAATAAATAGCACGAAAAAATACATGATGTCCCAACAGGCTACTAGAGACTGGCAGCCATTGGGCCACGTTTCCTAGCAGTCAGCTCCAAAGGATCCACAAGACAATGCAAATGACTACAGTAGTGCAGCTATCCTCAAGAGGCGTGTGTGTGAGGCAGTGAGGAATTCTGTGTGTCCTGCATGTGGACGATGGAACCATGCTGTCAAGCAGGCAGTGAGTTTTGCTTATCGGCTTCATTGGCATCCTTATTCAGTAGTTGAAGAGCTTGCTGCATTTGTTGGCAGGAGGAACAGGCTGAAGCAGTGGATATATCTTCATAAAATATTGCAGCTGGTGAAAAGCTCACAAAACATGTTCCAATGCAGTAGGTGTGAGAAGCATGCTTTCATGTGATGGAGAGTATTACATAAGACATTAATTCCATCTGTCCTGGAGGCGCGGCTGTGATTACAGATTAGGTGCACTCAGACTAAGGCATTCACATCTGGAGTGATGATGCTGACTGAGAGCACAGCCTGTCCTTTCAGGCCTGGGACAGCTTGCTCACAATACATGAAAACACAAACTATTCAGGCTCTTTCTTGGAGACTATGTCTGGCTTAGTATTTAAGTCACAACAGACCCAGGACAAATATGTATCCATCAGCCTTTGAGGAAGAAAAGCTGGTTTCTGGTTAGTAATACCTTGAAACACCAAGCCCCAAGCCCCCTAAGGACTGAGTCTTTCCCCATTCTCAGTAGGACAGGAACATTTTATTCTGGCGTAGAATTACTACCAGCTGAGAGAATCTGGAGGACATAGACCCCTCTGGTAGTCGGCATTCTGGAAGGTTTAATCTACAGAAAAAGGGCAAACTGTATTGCCAGGTGTTTCGGTTTCATATCCAGTACATGTTGTGCAAATCAGGCAATTTCCTTACTGATGGACTCTATGAGAACTAGACAACAAAGGTAGCTTTCTCGTTTGCTGAGAATGCTTCACCCCCAACTTAGAAGGTCCTCTCTTAAATCCAACCATAGGTCATGATAGATAGTCTAATATCTATTATTTCTCTAGGATGGGACTTAATAGTTTTTAATCTTAAAAACACTTAAAGCAAGCTAGCGGTGGTGTCACACACCTTTAATCCCAGCACTCGGAAGGCAGAGGCAGGCGGATCTCTGAGTTCAAGGCCAGCCTGGTCTACACATCAAGTTCCAGGACAACTTTATCTCAATAAACCAAAGCAAATCAAACCAAAACAAAACATATAAAAGTACCATATGAAACTTTTCCAGACCAAACCCTATCTACAGAATGTTATTATTAGGGACAGGACTTTGTATTAGATGGGGACTTGGATCTGTATCAAGCAAATACTGCAACATTTTAGGTTTGAAAACAATACAGAGAGAAATATAATTCCTTGCACCACTTCCCCCCAACATGTTACTATCTGTGCAGCCCAGGGCAGTGAATAGAAGCTGTCAATCTCCCAGTCCCAAGCTTGAAGGGTTGGCTACCTGAGAATTGTGACAATCAATGTCTGTGTACATCTGTCCCTTTTCCACACCCCAGTTAATAAGTTGTGAGTGAGATAAAGCTTTCCTATTAGACACAAACATGATTGAAACTCATGGTAACACATTGAAAAGGGGGCCAAATATTAGAGACTCAAACAGTTAAAAGAAAAAGGACCTGTATGGAAGGTCTGTAAGAAGGGGAGTGTCTTTCTTAAAATTTAAAACTTATTTTTATCTATATGTGTATGTGTTGTATGCATGTGGACCTGCTCGATTGTACACCCAGAAGTGGGTTTTGGATCTGCTGGTGCTGGAGTTACAGGTGGTTATGAACAGCCAGATGCCGGTTCTGGAACCTGGATCTGGGTCCTCTAAAGGAGTAGCAACTGCTCTTAACCATTGAGCAGTTTCTCTAGCATTGAAGTGTTTTTCTTAAGAGACCACACTTAAAATAGATTGAATACAGAAATTAATCCTTTTCAGTAAAGAATGCAGAAAAAGACCTGTATACTTTGTTATGTGAAATCAGCACTGTGCAAGGCAGCCACATAACCCTGAGAGGAGATGACCAGTGCTACACTAGGAATGAACGCTTCTCATAGGGAAACAACAGAGATTCAAGGAGACAGCTTTTAACTTCACAAAATAATAGTAACATTTACACGGAAAATATTAATAGCTGAGAGAATGAAGGATTTAATCTCTGTTCAGTGCTTTTTGGGATACAGAGTAGTGAATAATCCAATAGCCTTTACTCTTTGCTTAGAGAATGTTAGTAATGGAATAAGTACGTCAGCAGGCCTTGAGCAATTATTCCAACAGATAAGAGAGATCAAAACAGGTATTCAGGCTGTGAAGTTTGGGCAAAGGAACAAAAGGACACAGCATTCTACAAAGAGTTTAAGCTATCATATGTTAAGTTTAAAAATAACTTAATTGAAGCCATTACCTTATCAAAAAATCTACTGAGCTTGACAGCATTGGAGGAGCCTGCAGCTGAGGACCGTGGGTTTGTGCAATCCTGAAAAACAAAGGCACACACAGAAAAGCCAGGCAGTGAAACTCCAGTGCAACTATTCCCATTGTACTGTTCTAATAATACTAAATCATCACAACTCTCATAAACTACACGGCAATATTCAGATTATGATGCACAAACAGGAAACCACCCAAGGTAAAGCCATTTAGTCTTTGCCATTTGAGCAACATTGGAGGATACTGAATCAACATACTCATCATCAAATAATTCCTGAAGGAAGCAGAATTGCTAGCAGCTTATTAGCAAAACAAAGGGACTGATCAGGTGACCTACATATGTTCACTCTGAAAATCAGAAATAGAATCATGACAAGCAGGACGCATTTCAGGCCAGGAACTAAGTGCTCAACTAATTAAGTATTGTGCAGGCTGCATAATAGTTGGAAACATGAAAATAAGATTTAGTGGGCCAAAGAACAAACAGGTACCAAGGATTTCTCTATTTCTTCATACATATCACAAAGACATGCAAGTTTTGATAATAAAAAGCAAGAGACATATTATTAATATTATTCAATAAGAGTCTTTAAATAGGAAAGCATGGAACTCAGAGGAGGGGAAACAATCTGAGATACTAAGTCATCACAACAGCTTGCAAACGCCAGTATTACACCATCTTTGCTTGCCACCGGGGCTGGCCCTCTCAAGAGATGGAGCAGGCTTTGATGTTTACCTCAAATGCCACCAAGACCAAACTGTGCAGAGACCATTCAGGTTCTTTTGTGAAGTGTCTTGTACATATCTGTGGGCACTCTGTGCCCTTGAGAAAATTCTGAAATTACTCTTGCTTTATTTAACAATGCTGTTTTGTAACAGCCAGGCCCACATGTTTCCTTCTAATACATTTAGAAGCAATTTCTTGTCTTGTTCATACACAGCATTTCAAGGATCACACTTTAAATAATGGCCAGAAACTATAAAGCTCTCTACCCACGCCCCGACACACAAAGAAAAAGGGAGTGGGTAGGAGGGAAAGGGGGAAAGCCGGCTGACTGTAACAGTTTTCAAAGATCATAAAATACTGGGGAAATGAGGGATCTTGGAAGCCAGTAATCTCTGGAAATGTGGCAACATTTCCAGATTGTGTAACTTGCTTAAGTCATTATGGCTTTAAAGTTGGGCTTACTCATTTGTGAAATGGGGACAAATCTACTCAGTTTTGTGAGATTCAATGAGATATTGCATGCCTGCCACACAGCAGACACTGGAATATCAATTCTCTTCTTCATTGTATGTGAAAGGAGTAAACTAAACTCAAGGATTTCACTTTTTTTTTTTTTTTTTTTTTGGTTTTTACGAGACAGGGTTTCTCTGTATTGTTTTGGAGGCTATCGGTCCAGCCCGGCCTCGAACTCACAGAGATCCACCTGCCTCTGCCTCCCGAGTGCTGGGATTAAAGGCGTGCGCCACCACCGCCCGGCAAGGATTTCACTTTAAATAATTTAGAAAAAAAGGGACCAGACCTTCACTCAGCCCCCTGCTTTAGCAGCCATGACAGGCTACAGACACGTAGGATCTGACACAAGGAAACTCCAGATCCTCTGGCCTCCTGGAGCCTAGGACCAAAACTGAACACAAAGAGACTCCAGACCCCCGATCCCCAGCCGCCTAGATGCTGGGTTCCCAGGAACTGTTTGGCCACAAAAGAAACTCCTCTATAGAGACCAAAACCTCCCCTATAGTCTCTAGGATATAGTTCTGAAAACTATTGGTATCTATGTGCAACAGGCCACCTGCAAGTAACAAGACAATGCCATAGAAACCACAGAATGTTCCCTCTCAGCATTGTCCAATGAAAATAATTGGTACACAGGTAGTTCATGCCAAAATATGACTTTGAGAAATTCTCCTGGTTGTTCCCAAATGTCAACTAATCAGAAATCAACCCGTACCTACTGATGTAATCCTGTAACTTTTGTCTATAAAACCTAACAGTAGACAGGGAACTTCACTCCTTCTGGGGGCTGCTGCATCAGCTTGTTAGATGGGGTCCCTTTCATTGGTAGATGAACAATCATTAAACCTTGCTTTTGCATTTTAGTGGGTCTGTCTTCCTGGTGGTCTCTGGGGACTTTGCAACTTGGGCACAACAGTAAGAAAATGCTATTAGATTGATTATTATTATTATTACTTTGGTAAGTAAGTATTCTAAATGTATCAGTTTTCTTTTTTCTCTTTTTTTAATTAAATTTTTTCATTTATTTTACATACTACCAGTTTCCTCTCCCCCCTCTCTTCCCATTCCCTCCCCCTACTTCCTGTCTATCCTCCTTGTCCCACTGAATTTTTAAGTATAATCATGTGAATTAAATTCCTTGGTATATCACTGTGCACACTGATGTATTTGCAGTAATATTTGAATACATTTGTACTATTTGGAACAGACAAGAAATCAACCTTAGACCTACATTAGATGTTTTTGCAAAATGGGTATTGATCAGATCTAACATCATCAGAATGTTAGATGATGACTCTAAATAAGAGTCAAAATTACTTAAAAAAAAAAGGAGAAGAAAGAAAAGAAAAATCTTAAATCAAACAGCAAACAAGTTTACTATTGGGAGCCAGGTGGTGGTGGCACATGCCTTTGGGAGGGAGAGGCAGGTAGCTCTCTGTGAGTTCAAGGCCAGCCTGGTCTGCAGCCAGGACAGGCTCCAAAACTACACAAAACTACACAAAGAAACTCTGTCTTAAAAAAAAAATAACCAAAGGGCAGTGGTGGCGCACGCCTTTAATCCCAGCACTCGGGAGGCAGAGGCAGGCGGATCTCTGTGAGTTCGAGGCCGGGCTGGACCGACAGCCTCTAAGACAATACAGAGAAACTCTGTCTCGTAAAACCAAAAAAAAAAACAAAAACAAAAAAACAAAAAAAAAATTTGACTATTGGGCTCCACAATTCAAGTTGAACAGGAAATCTGAAACTCCATGTGTTTTAGGGTCAACATTTTGGAGTTGAAAGAGCCATTAGTCATTGATCATGGCTGAGGGAAAGCCTGAAAATTAATAGCTCTAAATATCTTTTCTGAAGTGGAAAATGACTATATACTAAATAGACACACATGAGCAAAAGTACTATATACAACAACCCTAGCACCCCCTCACCCTTTTTTTTTTTTTTCGAGACAAGGTTTCCTTGTATAGCTTTGTAGACCAGGTTGGCCTCCAACTCACAGAGATCTGCCTGCCTCTGCTTCCCAAAGGCGTGTGCCACCACCACTTGGTGCTAGCACCCATTTTTATTCAAATAGTTTGCATTTGTATCCACAGAAGGCAATTCTGACTACACTTCCGATATATGCATGTTAGATTCATACTTCTCCATAGGTTTAAGTAAATTTATACAAGAAACTAAGCTAACACTAATGTTGTCATATTAGGCCCAGTCTGAGGCTTTATAGTTACTTGTTGAATTTCTATTTTTAACTCCTATATTCAGCTGCCCTCTTGTAAATTAACTCCTTGTATCCTCATTACCCACTTCTATATTGTTTCTGTTGTGTTCTTGAAGGATACACTGACAAACTATAGGCATTTATACTTAAACTCTTGGGAGATTATAAATGCTGAAGTCCTACTGCTTACATTTTTATTTTGCTAACAACTGACGTTGGTCTAGCCTTTGTAAGCTAAGGAGGGATAATATGTGTCTAGCTGGCTGTCACAGAAATCAGTAGGCACCAGACAAAGACATATTCAGAAGCACAGTAAAGTTATGATTGGAACAAATTGTGCGTATTTAATGGCAAATTTCCCTTTGAAAATAATATGCAAATAAAGTAACACCAGCACTAATTCTACAGAGATAACATATTTATATAATTTATATAGTAGGGAATTCTCTGGAATACTATTGTCCAGCACTGACTACCCAGGATGTTTACATTGAGCGTTCCACAGTGACAGCTACAAAAAAGGGGACACATTCCATTGCACAATAAAATACAAAAACAATGGATGGCAGACAGAAGCTGAGTCAGACTTGGGGTAGAGGCAGTATTTATAGATGCTGATTCACTGGGCAATCTGTCAAGTGAGAGCACTGGCAGAGGGTATAAGTCAGCAGGAAAGTGTATGTTTCTCATGCGCCAGCACCACATTAAACAGACAAACCATTAGCAGGGTACTGCTCCTACCAGCACTAAGGACACAAAGCGCTAATCCGAAGGACAGCCATTGAAGATGTTCACAGGCACTGCTGGTAATAATATGCAGAGAGCTTTCAGTAACTGTTGGTATAAATTATTTCACAGTTCTTTTAGAGCCAACATTTGAAATCTTAGTTGAAGGATAATCAAGTGAGAATTAGGCTTAACTATAGAACCTAAGCTTGACAGTCAGAGTGACTTATTTGGCTTGATTACATGTTATTCTCGCTCTTTTTTTTTGAGACAGGATTTCTCTATATTGTTTTGGAGGCTGTCCTGGAACTCGTTCTGTAGATCAGGCTGGCCTCGAACTCACAGAGATCTGCCTGCCTCTGCCTCCCAAGTGCTGGGATTAAAGGCGTGAGCCACCAACGCCCGGCAGATTACATGTTATTCTTATCTTTATTTTTAGAACGGAGGTCGCAAAGTTTAAGTTAAAAGGTTGACGTGGAGATGGTATGTGTGACGTGATACTGTAAAGCTTTAAAACAGCATTTGGTGAATAACTGCTCTAAGAGTGCTGGCCAATAGTACTATCAGTAATCAACACCTGTAACGACAGTGTGCTGACAGTGTGGCAATCCTGCTTAAGAACAAGGATGACGTGTAACCATCACTGAAGCTGCAGGTCAGACCTTTTTCTGGATATGAGCTCTGTTTCTTAGCCTCGATAGCCCTCTGTTCTAATTAAACTAGCTATTACAGCAAGGTTCTATATGCAAAACTTTATATACATTACTCTTCATGATATTCTACTATTATATAGTTTGTAATTTTCTTATACATCTGTTTGGGTGCCCTTCAAGATCAATTCTGTGCTGTAAACCCTTTTGGGTTTTTCAAGACAGGGTTTTACTGTGTAGCCCTGGCTGTTCTGGAATTCAATCTGTACACTAGGCCTCAAACTCACAGAGATCCTCCTGCCTCTGCCTCCCGAGTGCTGGGATTAAGAGGTTTTTTTCAAAAGCAACAATAACCAGTATATAGTATCACCTTAATTGGTATAATTCTTTTGAATTTGGTATGCTTTTTAGGTTTTCTCAAGAAAGAGTCTATGATTTGTACTCTTCACCGAGTACGGTCTGAGGATTCCAGCAATCAATGTGCAAGTTCAAAGGGAAAGAGACCCTCACGTGACAGTCTAGACACGCTGACTTTGATCTGCTTTGTGTTTGGTGAGCTTCTACTTTGAGTGTAAAGCTTCTATGATTAGAATATAGCTCAGACACACATTAGTGAACACATACCAAATTAATCTCTTCAGCATTGAAGTCCTCAGCCAAGAAAGCAGTCCTAATTGAAACTTCATGGCGCTTGGTTTCATGGATCTGGTCCAGTTTAGTCCCTATTACCAACAGTGGGATTTGATTATCAGCAAATTGTTCTCGGTCATAATCCCTGTGATAAATAACCATGAAGAGGTGAATAGGATTTACCTTTCGATGTAGATGTATAGTATTTAAATGCAAGATGATTACACAACCGTAATAACTAATTCCTGCTCATCATCACCTAGAAATCTTTTATCTCCTAATTTCTTCCATGTGCTTATTCATCATCAATCCATTGTCTACTGAATTCCAATTACTCATCTTATTACTCAACATCTGCTCCCGTGTGTCTTTCTAACAGATAACTTGGATCATTGAGGGCCTAATGTGACTTAACTGTCTACAACTCTCTGTCTTCAACAGGTATCAGCTTCAAAAATTTTCAGTGTGGAGGCAGAAAGTGGATTTAAAGTTCAGTGTATGGAAAACTCAGGAGTCTAGCATGTACTGCTGGTACTTCATGCACCAATTCTCTAACTTGCTTATGCATTCCTAGCTATGAGTGTGCAAAAAAACCTTTTACAGTAAAAAGAAGTAGAGAAGCTGCAGGCTATAGTGAAGAGAACCTAAGTGAGACCACAGCTTTGAATGGGAGTGGAAGGAAAATAGCCGAAATGTTAACTGTAATAATAAAGGGCCAAAAAATTAGAACCAAATACTTGTCCTCACATGACAGCCATGAGAGACAAAGGGTCAATCATCAGAAACTCTCAGGGACAGAAGGCGGTCTATTATAACTCATTTTATTTCCATTTTACCCAAAGGATTGATTAGCAATATGAATGATATTTCTCATTAGTGAAAGGAACATAAAGTCCATTGTTGTTAATTAATTGTAATTCTATCCACCTATTAGAAGCAAAGTATATATGGATTTCTCATATGTTATAAGCTCTGTTTACCACAGTCAGCAAAACCTGCTTTTGAATAATCAATACTGACAATCCAGTCAATAACACCCACTGGAGCACAGCTTCTCTTCCGTCCTAGCCCCTTTCTTTCCTTTTGAGCAATCTAAACTGGGAATGGGAGGGAGAGGGTTCCTACATCTCTCCCTCCTTCACAATCATCTTACAGCGCCTCAGTTATAATTCCATCTTAGAACACAGTTGGTTTGAACTATGTAACCCACCTCATATAAATATCGCCATCTGTTTTATGTACACTGAAGCCAATAATAGCTGAAGTTAGAAGCCTAAGCACCAGCACCTTCTTATCTACACGTCTGACTCAGGAGACATGGTCTGAACTGAAAGCTAAATTAGTAGAGAATGAAGTTTTCAGAGTACCTTCCTTTAGGGCAATTTCTTTTCCTTTCTTTCTTTCTTTCTCTCTCTCTCTCTCTCTCTCTCTCTCTCTCTCTCTCTCTCTCTCTCTCTCTCTCTCTCTCTCTTTCTTTCAAGATAGGGTTTCTATGTATTGCTTTGGAGGCTGTCCTGGGACTCAGCTCTGGAGACCAGGGTGGTCTTGAACTCACAAAGATCTGCCTGCCTCTGCCTCCCGAGTGCTGGGATTAAAGGCATGCACCACCAACGCCAGGCTGGTAATTTCTTTTCTTATATTCACAAATTCTACCATGGAAAGATTTTGTATCAAACACCATCTTTGACACACACTCTCTGGTATTTGAAATCTTATACAATCTCCCATTGATTACCATGTAAGTATATGTACCTTGCTCTCTCTCATGTTTCTTTTTTGGCTTTTTATTTTTCCAAGAACTACACTGAACCATAAATGTATAGTGACTCATCATTTAAATTATACCACATTGATTTTGTTTTTCTTTATTACCTCTTTCATAAAAATCATCATCCAATTGAAATTAGATCTTGAAATTATTTTAAAATCATTATGTAAAAAACTGATGGAGAATTTTATTATTGACAGATATGGCTAGCACTTTTCCCTAAAACCCACATCATTTTATGCACACAATAACCCTTTGAGAAACAAAAACAATTATGCATTTTTTTCAACACTATAGCTATCATTGAAAGAAGATTTAAGATCCAAGAAATATACTTAAAAGATGCAACAGGGCTTTTGATGTTGCTGTTTTATTCTTTAAAGTGGTGCTAAGGATTGAACCTTGGGCCTCCTGCATACTAGGGAATGGCTCTACTGAGCTACAGCATCAGGACTCTAAGGAGGAAATATTTACATAGGCTCATGGTTTCAAAGGGAGTAGACAACATAGATCAATAGACAGAATACAGAAGTTGACCTGTACAAATATGGTCAACCGATTTTGTCAAAGGAATGAAGGCGACTCAAGGGAGATAGGATATTCTTTAACAATTGATGCTGGAACAAGTGACATTCTGATAAGCCCAAATTAGACATATTATGTAAAATTAGAGAGGATCATAAATCTAATAAAACTCCTAAATTATAAAACTAATAGAAAGAACACACAGAAGAAAATCTATGTGATCTGAGATTAAGCAAACAGTTCCTAAATATTAGCAAAATTCAGAGTAGGAAAACTTAAGTAATTAGATTTCATCAAAATAAAACCACTGCCGTGAAAGATGCCATTCAGATAATGGAAATATCATATATAGGCTAAAATATAGAACCAATCACACATCCTACAAAGTTTTATTTTGTAAAGTGAATTCTCAGGATTGCAATCACAATTAAAACCAATTGTAAAGTATTTCCAGCCTTACCCATTTGTCACCAGGACACCAGTTGGAACCAAATCTCTGTTGAGAACTTCCAGTGACCATCGATATAAGTTTTGAGATGACTTCTTATTCGTTAAGTCATGTACTAAAATAATACCTAAAAATAAACAGGTAAAATGTCAGTACTCATCAGCGCCTCTTACCTTACAATCAACAAGGACAAGCTTAGTAAGTACAAATCTTAGATGGCTTAATGACCTAGTATTCAAGTATGACTAATAGATTTAGACAAGTATTTCAAAATGTCCTTTATGAACATTTTCAAATAACTAACTATCCAGCTTTACTATTAATATTCTTTTTTATTTTTTTGGGTTTTCGAGACAGGGTTTTCCTGTGTAGTTTTGGAGGCTGTCCTGTACCTAGCTTTTGAAGACCAGGCTGGCTTTGAACTCCCAGAGATTGGCCTGCCTCTGCCTCCCAAGTGCTGGGACTAAAGGTGTGGGCCACCACTACCCGGCTACTAATATACTTTTAAGAGTGTTTTCTTTTTCTTTCCCAAAGACTAACAGAATGTCATAAAAATATCCAGAATGCCTTTTGATACTCTCATCTAGCAGCCCAGGTGCCAACTGCATGCTTGGAACTGCTTACAGAAGCACTTCACCAATGAAGAACGTTATTTATTAACAGATCATATTCATTCAAAAATCATACTGTTTCTGCACTGATGAAATATACTAAAATAGCATCACTTTAATTTTTCTTTCTTTCTTTTTTTTTTTTTTTTTTTTTCGAGACAGGATTTCTCTGTACTGTTTTGGAAGCTGTCTTGGAACTTGCTTGGTAGACCAGGCTGGCCTTGAACTCACAGAGATCCGCCTGCTTCTGCCTCCCGAGTGCTGGGATTAAAGGCATGCGCCACCAACACCTGGCCACTTTAATTTTTATAAATGCTATTTTTCCTTAAAAAATAAAAAACAAAGAAACAAAAAAAAAAACCCATAACAAAACCAGGGTCTTACTACATAGAGGATACTGGCTTGGCTCATTGTGATGCCCAGCCTGGCCTGGAATTCTTCACACTCCTGCTTCTTCCTCTCAGATATGAGATACAGGTATGTGCCACACTTTCAGGTTAATGGTTAATCTTTTTAAATTTTTATTTCTATCTATGTGTATGTGTGTCTGTCTGTGCACACACACATGTGTGGGTCCTGTGGAGCTAGAAAAGGGCGGTGGATCTCCTGGAGCCGAGATAACAGCTGTGAGTTGACAGGTGGGTGCTGGGAATCAGAGCTGGGTCCTCTCCCAGAGCAGCCAGTGTTCTTACAGATGAGCCATCTCTCCAATCCCTCAGTTGTTATTCTTTAACAAACAAATCTTGTGCTATAGATATTCTGAATCTCATCAAGTCAAGAGTTTTGTTGTTCTTAGAATTCATTGTGAGCTAAGTAAGCTTGCTACTTTAAAAGAGTTGGTTGGCCCATTGTAGTGATGCATGCCTATAATCCTGCACTTGGTAAACTGAGGCTGGAGAACTTGAGTTTGGGGCCCCCCAAGACAATACAGCAAGATCCTGCCTTAAAAGACAAATGAGGGCTGCAGAGATGGCTCAATGGGTAAGAGCACAGACTTTTTTTTATTTAAGTGTTAGGTCCAACTGATAGAGTTGTGCTGAGGTCTGACTAGAATTTATTCTAGCTTAAGGGGGCTACAGAGACTTCATAGGTTTTCTACTGAGATCAGTAGCCTGGGTCATCAAGTAGGAAGAAAGAAAGTGTACTTATTTTCAGATACCGTTCATCTGGAATACCTACAGAGGCCGGGAAATTACTAAGGCGTGATGACGAGGGGGTTTAAAGGAAGACGAGATAGAATGAACTGGTATTAAAGGTTGAAAGGGAAGAATGGAACAGGAAGGGTTAAACTTGGGTTGGGGTGGAAGAGCAGGGTTGAGGAAGCAGTTTGGCGAGGGATAAAAGATATATGGAAAACTACTACTGTTGAGTTTCTAAAATGGATATATTATATATTACACACATATAAATAATAAAAATAAAAGTGGAGCAACTTTATAGCAAGGCAACAATGCCCCAGCTAGACACCAGAGGCTAACAAATTAGACTGTGAAATGCAGGCTTAATTCCAGAGTTTAGACACATCAGCTTTCTCATAGTTAAGAGAAATGAAAAGCTCTTACCATTTACAGAGTTGTAGAACACTGCTCTTGTGCTTTTCACACTGCTGGCACTGCCCACAGAGCCTCCAACATCCCATAATTCTATATAGTAAGTCTTCTCTTCTGGGGTTCCTTCTTTGTAGTCATGAACCTAATGGATTAATGAAAATAATCTCTAAAGCCACCAAACAAACCAGGAAGCACCCTTACTCAGTTTAAAGCAATGTCATTCCCCTCAGCACCGGCCCTCTGATTACCACCCCCTCTTAGCTTTCATGCTTACTCCTGGCTATTCCAACTCTAATCTTTCACCATTTGGACCCTATATTTGATGTGAATGTCTTTGGACAATTTCCTTCCTACTTTCAAAGCTGTAGTTCCTTCCTCACTAAGCACAAGTCCCATGATCCATTTTCCCACTCCACGTCATTCTCTTACCTTTCTTAGCCACACTCATCTGACAAAACCCCAAACCTGGCAACAGCCTCTTCTCTCTGTATTCTGCCCCTGGAATTCAGTTTCCTGAATGTGTAGTTCAGAAAACTACATCCTAGCAGACTGAGTTCTTTTCTAATTCAAGTGTGCCCTTGGATGTCCACTTTCCTTTCCCTGATAACAATTTTTATACTTTTTGCTTCTTTTTGAAATTTCCAGTATCTTTTCTCTAGGCTCAAAAAGAGGTAAGGTGGTTTCCTAGGCTAGAGTAATAACAATAAAAAAGAATGTCTTCCACCTGTCCTTTCTCCTCCTGGAATGTAAGCCCATAAGATCACGTTCCACCTGCTATTACCTTAGGCTCTCTGTGCCCTTAAGCTAAGTCTGAATCCTCTGTGCAGTAAATCCCATCCCATTTCATCATACAAAGATGCAGTCACACCATTCTTTCTGTCTCTAGCACGGCACTTCCTCCTCTGCTGGATAATTCTCAACAACATAATATGTATAAATATAAATATGCCTTATCTTCTTTCAGCTACTGTGCTGTTTCTATTTTCATAGAAAAGGTCCCCCAAAAGTTATCTATTTCCAGCTCTATTTTTCCTCACCTTTTTAAATGTAAAAGTTTTCTTTTTTGAAAATTTAATACATGAGTACTGTATTTACAACATTTCCATCCTTCCCTCTCCTCTTCTCAAGTTTCTATTATGTCTGCTCTCCAACCACACAACTTCTTTTTAAATTCATGACTTCAATTATTTTCAATTATTATTGTGTGTGTATGTGTGTATACATACAATCTACTGAGTCTATTTAGTGATTCTGCATGTAAGCATGTTTAGGGTTGACCACTTGGGACTGGCTGTCTACAAGGGATTCTCCCTTTCTTAGCAGCCACTGATTACCTGTAGCTGTTCATCCAGGGGTGGGACCTTGTGAAATTTCCTTCACCACATTGGCATGTCAACTGGTAGTATCTTTATGTAGGTCTTGTTTATATTGCTGAGATTTCATGGTACAGCTTATGACTAGAAGATGCTTTACTTTTTCATGCATATGTATATAATTATTATTATTATTTGGGAGGCATGATGCACATGTGGTGGTTCGAGAACAACCTATATAAGTCAGTTCTTTACTTCTACAGAGTGAGCTCCAGAGATCTAACTCAGGTCATCAGGTTTGGCAGCAAGCATCTTTACATGCTGTGCAATCTTACTGGCCCTCACGTTCCCCTTTTCAAATGTTTAGTTATTTTATATGCCCAAATGTTTTGCCTCCATGTATGTATGTGCACCATCTACATGCCTGGTACCCAGAGGTGAGAAAAGGGCATCAGAGCCCCTGGAATTACATTCTCTTTAGAACTCCTTTTTATATGGCCTTTATATGATCTCTTTATTACACTGTTTCTGATCAAGATTATCAATTATCAGCAGGGCCGTGGTGGTGGATGCCTTTAATCCCAACACTTGGGAGGCAGAGGCCGGTGGATCTCTGTGAGTTCGAGGCCAGCCTGGTCTACAAATCTATACAAGAGAAACTCTGTCTCGAAAATAAAAATCACCAATTATCTCCACAATTGCTAAGGTCAATGGTCTAGTGAGTTTCCATCTTATTCCACCATTTAGTCACCCCCTGTGCTTTGCAATTTTTCTTTATTTGGTGTCTATGGCATCACACTCTTGGATTTCTCCCATCCCACTGACTGCTCTTTTTCAGTGTCACTTAGGATCTCCTTACTTCTCTCACTTCTGTTGCTGTAGTGTCCTATTCTATTTCTTCTCTGCCAATTCCTGCTCTTGGGCAATTCCATCTACCCTTATGATTTTATGTATGTGGATAAATCAAAAATTTATATAAATCCTGGGAATTTTAGACTACCACATTAACCAGGCTACCACTAGGAATGTCTAATAGGTACTTCAGAGTAATCTATAAAAAAAATGATATCCTTGTCTTCTTCTCAAACCTATTCCTCCACCAATTTTTACAGTCTTAAGAAAAGGTAATCTTTTTGTTGAGATATCTTTGATGTCTTTCTAATAAATTGAGTCAAAATCTTAGGAGTAAACTTGGACTCCTTCCCCACTACATAACTGCTCTGTCAGCAAATTCTGTTCCTTTGATCATCACCTTAACTATCACCGTCTAGGGAGATGTCTCTGTCTACTTCTTTGCCTGAATTCATTAACTAACATGGTCTCTTACCAGTTTCCCTACTAGAAGCATTCTTCCACCAATTTGTTTTTCACAAAGTAGTTAGAAGGAACGATTTTAAAATCCAAGTGAGATCATCTCAACCCTACACTTTCTCAGTCACAATAAATTTCAAGGTCTCCTTTGATTCCTCATGATCTAGACTCTTATTGTCTATTTAACTATATAGGAACAAATTCTGATATACAATAATCAGATGTATGATGATTCAAGGGTAGTAGACAACAGACTTCTTGAAATTAAGATATAATATATAGAGCCAGGTGGGTTGTGTATCTGTAATCTCAGCACTTGAGGTGTTGAAGCTGGAGGATTATGCAGCTGAAGTTGCTCTTGGCTATACTGTGGGACTTTGACTCCCCATGTCTAAGTATGCCTTCCTTCCCTTCCAAAAACAGAAAAATATACATGCCAAGAAAGCAGAATCAGGTTCTTTTGGGAGTGAGACCCAGGCATATAAGTCTCCAAATGATTCTGCTGTCACTCTCTATTGGAGAACTGCTGATTTTACAGACTGAAACTATTATGCTATTAGGCTTACACTTCTGCCGTCAATCAGCCCTGGTATCACCTAGCCTCTGATTAAAGAGATGCATCTGTAAAGCACCTACTGGCTTTAAAATAGTAGTGACAAGCCGGGCGGTGGTGGCGCACGCCTTTAACCCCAGCACTTGGGAGGCAGAGGCAGGCGGATCTCTGAGTTCGAGGCCGGGCTGGACCGACAGCCTCCAAAACAATACAGAGAAACCCTGTCTCATAAACCTCCCCCAAAAAAATAGTAGTGACAAAAACGACAACTTAATTGTTTAAAAGATGTCATAAAATCCACTAAACTTCACATGTTATACTCAACAGGATGCTTTGCATTTTGCTGTATTCATTTGTTTAGTTCTAAGTCCTTTGGGCAGGAAAGTATTTGAGAACATGAGATATTGTACAGATAGTCACAGTGGCATTAAGAAGATAAGGAACAGACAAAGACAACAAGATAGGAAATGATGACAGCAAAGTCACAGACATTGGACACTGTTTCAGAGAATGGAAATTAATGTTATATATTGCAACAATAAGCACTGCTATTTTGCTATATGGCATAAATAACTGATAACACACAACTACGCCAAATCATCAAAACAAAAAAGGTTAAGAAAGTGTGGAAATAGATGACATATTTTACAAAGATTCTAAGCAAAACCATTTAAATAGGGAGCATGTGATCTGGTATGAAAAAGCTTAGCTACTTCCACAAGCCCCTCCTGAACTTGCCTTCCCACATACTCCAAGCCAGGGCATGTTAGGTTCTCTTCTGTGTTTTTATAACTCTCTCTGCATGCTGTCATCTCACTGTCTGCACTGTCTCACTCAACACCCACTATCTCTTCCCTCACACTGGGAGTTTGAGAGAGCAGGGGTCATGTCCTATTCATCTTTGAATTTCTAGAAAATAGTGCTATGCCTAGAACATGTTTGTTAAATTAATATATTTATGGCATGTTATCCTTCAAGGTTTTATCATGTTTAGTTTGCTTACTAAATATCTGTTTTTTCTTAGGTATAGTTATCTGATGAAATAAATTGGAATAAGAACTATAGATTCTCGGAGTGTCCCTGAAGCTTCTGAGACAGGATAAAAACCTGTGTTTTTGTAATACAACTCCTACAGATCATGACTTCTTAGCCTTGTAATGTACTAGCCTGTTAGCCAGACCACTTTGTATATACATACTCCTAAGCCACTCTCATGACTCATCTATACTCTCCTCTACCACAAAATACCTTCTCAAGCCAGTTTTTCAAATACCCTTCTAAAATTAGAAGAAATGTCTTTCTTCCTTCCCAATTTGTTTACTCAATACTCAAGTAAATGAATCCATATGCAATGAGTCTTAAGAATTTAAAACTATAGGTTACAAGGAAGTTAACACTGTACTAGAGCATGGCTCTTGACAATTAAGTGGGAGCTGCTGTTATAATAAGAGTCTAACATGACAGGTAGAGTAATGCCTAACTGTAAGAAGCTTTTTTAAAAATATATTTAAATCAAGTCACCAAGGATCTGATACTTAGAGACATTCAAGGGTTTATGGTAATCAGCTGGGCTTTCTCAACAGCAAGCAGGACTGAATGGGAAACATCAACAATGAGCAACACGCCTCACTACCATGGCCCTCTCATATCTACTGAACAACAAATCACATTACACGTGGCTTCATTTCATTTGAGTGCTTCAGTGTAACTTTTGAAGTGAAATACATTTAATAAAGGAAATGATACACATCAAGAAAGAACAGATGCTAACAAGTTCAATTTAGTAACTGTGCCTATAGAATTACCTCTAGAAAGAAAGGAACAGTAGGGATTCTTAAGGTAGTGTTGGGAGAAAAAGAGAAGTGGGACAAGCAGAGCAACCAAAAGATGCAATGGGTGTCCTGGACATTTGAATTAAAGGGACAGAGGCTCTGCCTTCAGTCAAGCTCATTGCCTTTATTTATA